TAAAAATAAATTTTTGAAAAAGAAATAAATCAATACAAGTTTCTGTTGAATGACCTTTAAGGCTTAGATTTTAAATTGTGATTTCTTGATGCAGTACAATCTCATCAATTTTGAACATAAAGAAAAAGGAATGTTACATTAATAGATTCAGATGGTACAATATTTCTAACAAATTAAATTTCTCTCTCTAAAAAAAAAACGAGAGACTATGTCAGACAGGGAATTGCAATTATTTCCAATTATACACCATTCTGAACAAATGGAATTGCCTTCGCAGGATTATACTGTATTCTAAATAAGGCAGAGTAAATAGAAAATGCTTTGAAATAACAAACTGTCTAATGAGGGATCTTTAGTTTCAATGCTCTTATTCATTTTGAATTCAATTGAGGAAAATTTGTTTTAAAATATAAACCCCAGGGGAAAGCAGATGGCAGTTTTGCAGAACTTTTTGTTATTGATTCAGAGGTGATCAAGACAAATGAATGCAGGAAGCAGGGAGGAAAGAAAAGTAAGGGAAGATGACATAATTACTGAGAAAAAGACCATTTAGTAAATCTTTGAAGAGTTTGTGTGGAGTTGATTTTGCAATAAGCTCCCTTATAAAAATTATAGTGCGTCAGCAATTTCCAGAATCTGGGAAACGGTACAGGACAGGAAAAAAAAAAAGAACCCAGTATCTTCAACACATAAACTTCAAGGAAAAAAGAGAGAGATGTAAGAGGACCTATAGATTAAAAAAGATTTAAAAGATACCCTGGTGGTGGAGTGGTTAAGGCATTTGGCTGCTAACCAAGAGGTCAGTGGTTCAAACCCACCAGCCACTCTGTAGAAGAAATATGGGGCAGTCTGCTTCCGTAAAGATTTATAGCCTTGGAAACCCAATGAGGGTCACTATGAGTTGGAGTCAACTCAATGGCAGTGAGTGATAACCAATTATAATGTGTGAGCATTGCTTGGATTTGGATTCAAACAAACTATAAAAATATGAAGACAATACAATTGGAAATTGGAACACTGGATATTTGATTATATGAAAGGATTGAAGTTAATTTGGGGGGTGGGATAATGGTAAAGTAGTTATGATTGAAAAACAGAGTCCTTATTTTTTTTTACATATATGTAGAACTATTTATGGATGAAATGATAGGAAATGTAGAAATCTGTTTCAAGTAATTCAGGAGAGGAAAGCAGAAGGGGGTGGATATAGGACAAGACTGGCCATGGGTTAGTAGCTGTTGGGGATAGGTGACAGCCACAGACATGTTCATTACATTGTTGGACATTTAGGTATACTTTAAATTGTCCATAATAAAACTTTTTTTTAATGGAGTATGGCTTTTTTAGTTTGTACGTTTATTTGTTTAATCTTTAAATTTAATCTTTTGTTTGAGATTTTTCTGGAAATCCTTAGACATCTGATGACTCTCTAGAGCATCTGCATTGGGAACTACTGGTCTGTGAAGCTGAAGATTTGGCTTTGGCAATGATCAGAAGTCAGAGCACAACTATTCTACGGTTGTGGTAGACAGACTCCAAGGTGGTCACGAGGTACCCTCAGCCTCCTGGCACTCACACCTTTGTGTAATTCCCTTCCCCTTGAGTGTGGGTGGGACCTATGACTAGTTTCTATCTGACAGAATATGGCAAAGGTCACGGATGTTATTCCCGTTATTATGTTACATTGTATAAGACTCCTGGGAGCATTGGTGGCATAGTGCCTAAGGCATTTGACTGCTAACCAGAAGGCTGGTGGTTCAAACCCACCAACCACTCCTCGGAAGGAAGGATGGGTAATGTACTTCTGTAGTGATACCGCCTCGAAAACCCAAGGAGGAGTCGTTGTGAGTCATATTGAACTCGATGGCAGTAAGTTTGGGGTCTTTTTTTCAGTTTATATAAGACTCCATCTTGCTAGCAGACACACTCTTTCTCCCTTGATGGCTCTGAAGAAGTAAGTTGCCATGGGCCAAGAGGGCTTATGGAGGGGATCATATGACCAGGAACTGTAGGTGGCCTCTAAGAGGGTGGCCTCTGGCTGACAGCCAGCAAGAAGCTGGGGCCCTCAGTCTTAACACTGCAAGGAAATAAATTCTGCCAACAACCTGAGTGAGTTTGGAAGCAGATCTATCATCACCAGTCAAGACGCCAGACAGAACTGAACCCTGGGTTACCACCCCAACCATAACCCTAAGCCTTGACTGCACCTTTATGAGACCCTAAACAAAAGACTCAGCTAAGACAGACTTGGACTGACTCATGGAAATTTTGAAATTTAAGCCACTAAGTCTATAGGCATTTCTCATGCAGCATAGAAAACTAATACAATGGCATTATAGTAGTGCCTAAAGCATTTGACTGCTAACCAGAAGGCTGGTGGTTCAAACCCACCAGCCACTCCTCAGAAGAAAGGTTGGACCATTTACTTCCATAGTGATACCGCCTCAGAAACCCAAGGAGGGGTCGCTATGAGTCAGATAAGATTCAACGGCAATGAGTGTGTGCATGTGTGCATGCCCACAAATTACTATAAATTTTTAAAAAAGTATTTCAAGTAAATTTCTGTTTATCTTGAATGCGCAGAATAAGGTATATTAGATAAATGTGATATTCTAGAAAAATGTATGTCCATATATTACAATGGATTACCAAGTTTCAAATAATTTAACTATAATAAATTATACATATTACCAAAATTATGCTAAATTTAAAAAATGTACACAGTTAATGCTCAATAAATATCTGAATATAGTTGAATCTGGTATTGAATCTTGTCACACAACTCTAGCTTCTTTTAGCAAATGTAACTTGCCATCAACTGATATCAGCATCAGTCTATCATATATCACACCACGTTGTGTCCAAATGTGCCTTGGGGAAGAATGTATTGCAATCTGGGTCTTAAAGAAACTGAAAGGGATTTAAAGTTCACTTTTTAAAATGCCTAGTTTTAGAAGAAGAAATAGGATACCTCTATTGAAAAAGCATTATTTCATCAACTTATTGGTAAATACAACATAGAATGATGTTGCTCTGGCAGGATATTTCATTCTGGGAAATATTCCCTTTCTGCAGCTTCTCTGTAGGTTTTCTTCAGAACAGAAGCTTGATAAAAGAGCAATTGAAGGTAGTGAATAGCAGTTTATGAAATACTCAGTTAACTCTAAAGAGTTGACTTGGTTGATCTAAATAAATACATGTTTTAATAAGAAAAACAGAACTTTCAAAGTGAGTAATAA